CTAAGTTACAATATGGGCACATAGTTGGGTGGTTAGAACGTTTGCTTTCTAACTATGAGACCCGGGATCGAATCTCACCATGTTCAATTTGTCAGGATATAGACTTCGATGTTATCGATGTTTATGTTATCGACATGATCGACGTTCTGACATGAATTGGAAAGATTATCGAACTCAATCCCCGCGGCACCTGCTGACCCAAGCTTTGTGAGTGAAATTAGCCAGACGGAACTCTTGGAGCCCGTCGATAGCTAGCACGAAGTCAACAGTCATCGGGTTTGAGCGTGCCGGCCTTGTTCAAATTGATGATCACCCTGGAAACTGTAACTAAGGTCTGCGCAGCATAGTTGCAGTATAAACCACAGCTCCGTGGGTACTGAACAAAAACAAATACGCCCGAGCAAGCGTCTGCAATAGGGATTGGCTAGCCGCTCTAGTAGACGGTATCCTTGAATACGAGTGGCCAACTATAATAAGTTACAGCAAGTATCTTTCTGAATGATTGAGTCATTTAAATAATTAAAAATATTTAATGACGTTTGTCGATTGTGACAAAATAATTTCTATCTGAGATAAAATAATCAGGATGTGGAATTAGTAAATACTAAATACTCAGGTACTTTGACCTGACAGCATGGCTGATGCTGACCACCGGTGAGTGACTAGTTGCGCCTACACGGTCTAACGTTCTGACATGAATTGGAAAGATTATTTTGAATCAATTGTTTTAAATGCAATGTCAATCGCTATCTGCTGTTCTCCTGATTAATCTTCTTTTGTTCTCGCTCCTTAGTAATGTTTCTGTTTTCTAATTCTTCCACACCCAGTGACCCTTTGTGTCTGAGTTGCTTTACTGCTTTACTTGGGGGTGAACTTGCTTAAATATATATATAATACTAGCCCTATAAAACCGCCCTATCTTGTGTCATTTAAGCTAGCTCCTGTGGAGAGCTCTTGGTTGGGCTTTCATCACAATAGGTAGGGAGGAGTAGATGCGATAGGCAACAATAAACTACAGAAGAACTCAAAACGGATCGCTGTATTTAAGTATTGCATTAATATTTAAGCTTACTTTTTAAAAGTTCAACGATAATTCTTCTAGCGCCACTTAATTTAAAGACAATTTGATGTATGTAGGTCCTTACTTTCCGTACAAAAATATTTTTATATCATGGGTGACTTTCGCTGGATTTCGCAATTAATTTCGATTATTCCCAAATTTATTTCCAAGTTATAAAAATTTTTATCGTACAAAAAATTCGTCGCAAAAATCACGTAACAAATATCAGTAAAGAAAACTTGAGAATCCAAAAATTTAGGATTGTGCATCCGGATCCGGTCCGGAATGTTTTTAATTTGCTCACGGAGTTGGCCTGATTCCAAAATGGTATGATATATTAAGTTACATCCTCTAGAAGTAAAATTGAAAAAGTGTGACACACTGACACACTGGAATTCACATTTATTATATAGAAGAAGAAGTTAAGTTATTGAAAGTTAGGGATTTGTGTCCCTTCAACTGAAAAAGTGTGACACAGTGACACACTGGAATTCACATTTATATATATACATGGGTGAGTGTTTGTATAAATGACATTCAGCTACAATTTTGAACAAAAAACAAAATTTATTTTCCAATTGATTACTAATCTAACTACTCTTTTTTTTTCTTCCGTTTAACGATGCCAAAACTAAACGGGTTCGCTAAGAAATTGATGGAGAAAATACGTTGCCAGTTGAACGAAATGGGGTATAAAACAATATTGAAGGTGAAAGGCTTTAAATTCAGTGATTTCATTAATTATTATGCGCATAAATTTAGGTTTCAGTAGAAGTAGAAGAACAAAGAAGTAAAAGTCAACCAAAGATAATTAGCCATTTCAGTGAATACTTTGTTAGTAGCGCTTAACGCCCGGTAAATCTTAAATCAAAACCGAAAACATCGACACACAGTAATTCACACTAATTCGACTGGATAGTTCCACTCAATAGACGTTCAATAATCACTGCAGTCAGTAGCCTGACACTGCTATTTATACTCCTGGCGGAAAAAAATATTCATAAGTCAAGAGTGACGCGCTCGACCCTCAGTGTCGGTATTTACTCATTTTCTTTCTATATGGCAATTTTTATGTATTCGAAATTGATAAGTTAGGTTCATCAACAATGGATCTGTAGAAAAATAGTGACGTAATGTAGTTGTATATATATATATATATATATATATATATATATATATATATATATATGTGTGTGTGTGTGTGTGTGTGTGTGTGTGTGTGTGTGTGTGTGTGTGCATGGATCGAGTCGAGAATAAATTTAGATTTCAGTAGAAGGGCCGAGGCAATCAATGCTTCTCATTTACGCAGCTTTGGCTATTTAACCCTTTTGTGACATGCGGTGGCCGTTATTAATTAAGTATAACTAAGGACATCAATGTTAAAATAAGACATTATTTAATGAGAACCGTCAATACATACTTAACAAGAACAAAGAAGTAAAAGTCAACCAAAGATAATTAGCCATTTCAGTGAATACTTTGTTAGTAGCGCTTAACGCCCGGTAAATCTTAAATCAAAACCGAAAACATCGACACACAGTAATTCACACTAATTCGACTGGATAGTTCCACTCAATAGACGTTCAATAATCACTGCAGTCAGTAACCTGACACTGCTATTTATACTCCTCGCGGAAAACATATATTCATAAGTCCAGAATTTCACGCTCGAACCTTGCTGTCGGTAGTTATTTGCTTCCTATATGACTAATCCGTAGTTGGGAGAGGAAGAGATGGATTAATACAGTGACCAAGGAAAATGAATGGCATCTCGAATTCAGTCACTTTCTCATCGTGGTGACGTGGATTCTCACTGTCTTGTCTACAAATATGTTCATAGCAACTATTTTGATGAACATTTATGCTCAGTGACTCGATTGCATCATTATAAGCACGCTACTAGATTGTTACTTTTGAACCGCCTCTTCTATTTTAACAGCTTCTTTTTTTCGCTCGTGAAACTCCTTCACGATTAGTTGCATTCTTGCCACCTACAATGTTCAAAATTTTAAATGAAACGTTAATCGCCATCTGTCTTCCTGAATCCTGTTCTTTTTTTTTTTTTGCTCTTTCTCCGCTTATCTTCACTAAAATCTAATTCCCTTACCTCTCTCTTAACCTCCTGCTTCGTATTGGCATTATCACTTTAAAAAAAAAAAAAAAAAAAAAACGATCAAACTCAGCTGGATTTCGAATACATCAAAAATAGACTTTAAAAATTACCGTATTTCATTTATTTGTCGCCTTTTTGTCATCTTCATAAATTACTGATAGCTCTTATGATTAAATTGCTTAATTATTTAGACAAAGCAATTTTCTCTCCGTAAAGCAGTGAAGACCCTAGCATTTAGATCACAGCTTAAGAGTAGAAAGTAACAAGCAATATTTTCCTTTAGTACGAATGGTTCCAGTGAAAATTTGTGATTTGAATTTTCTGATGATTCATATATCTTAAGTTAATGACTAAATACGCTCCTTGCGTGTACTACGCCTATAAAACACCTTTGGAATTTCCCCTATTGCATCGTTTAATATTTGAACTTAACAACTTTAAACAAATATTGAAATGACAATCATAAGGTGAGAATTCAGTTCATTTGACTAGAAGTAAGAGAGTATGAATTAAAATACAGTGGAATTTCTCATATTCGGAATCTCGCATATCCAGAATCCCTCATATCCGGAATCCCTCATATCCGGAATCCCTCATATCCAGAATCCCTCATATCCAGAATCTCGCATATCCAGAATCCCTCATATCCAGAATCTCGCATATCCAGAATCTCGCATATCCGGACATAATTTTGATGTGTATATTCAAAATATTTGGGTGATATGTAACGGATTTGAAATTTTTGTTTTTCAGAAAATTTACTTTGGATAATTGCGTATGCTTATTTCACCCTACTGGCTTGTATTGGTGCAAAAGATGATGGGAATAAGAGGAAAAGAACAACTTTGGAGTTATCGCAAAAAAAGTGGAAATTTTAAACAGACTAGACGCTGGTGAAAGCTCATTATATCTAATGGCTGAGGTCAACATAGGAAAGTCAACATTCTATGATATAAAATCTTCCAAAGAAACTATTCTCTAGTTTTCACACTGTCACAATAAACAAGGAAATAAAAAAAAAAAACATGATTGTGATGAAACCTGGACTGAAATTGAAAAAGCTATTGAAAAGGTTGTCAGTTTTATGGAAAGAAAGCCGGCATTCATCTATAATGATTGCAATAACGCACGCAGAGTTAAAAGGTGTCTTTCGTTTAAAAATTTCAAGAACAAAAGCAAAACGAAATGCGGAAAAAGTTGAGAATGACATTAGAAGAGAAAGAATCATCATGCAACTGTGGTTAAAAAATCCTCGTTGCATTATTTGTTTTGCATTAGTAGCATACTTAATTTAATGAATTTTCATTAACATTACATAATTTATTTCTTTTTCCTTAAAGTCAATTCCGTTATATTTCACTCACTATTAGATTATTTTGTTTACTATAAAACATTGAAAATAAATGTTATACTTGATTTCAGTTTTTTTTATTTTAATCTTAATATAACCCCTCATATCCGGACATTGTAATCAATTTCTCATATCCGGAAGGCCTTCTTAGTCCGCTTGTCATGGATTCTACTGTATTAAACATTGACAAGTTTTTAACATTTCCCTGGCTGAATGATTTGTTTTACTTACGGCTTATCAACCCTTTCGCTGCTTATTTAAAACTAGAAAATATTTGTATAAGATTTTTTTTGGTGGGATATAATATTTATTTAGTGATACAAGTCTTGCAAATTAACTCGTAGCTGGGAAGAACAGTTGGATTCATGCCTTTCCCAAAGGTATTTTGCGTTAGGGCGAACCCAACTGAAATTGGAACTCGGCCCTCTGATTAACAGTTACATTTCCTTATCCATTACATCACCCGCATATACAAGCTTACAGCACCTGGAATTCCCAAGCAGTCACCCATATGGGTACTGGCCAGGCTCGACGTTGCTTAACTTCGGTGATCGTAGAGGAACCGATGTTTCAACGTGATATGGCCATAAGCCCATCCCACAGAAGCAGCATTAAACACAAAAGAACATTATAAGCCACTTTTGCGTTCTTTCTTGCTTGCTTTTCTCTCGCTGAAACCAAACAACGTCTCTGATAAGTCTTTTCCGTCTTACATAGCGATCAAAACAGAATAGTCCATTATTTATGAGGTATTGGCAGGGCGTAACAGTCGTGCTAACTACGGAAGGAAAGAACAGGCAGAACTACACCGTTTGTGCGAATTAATAATATAGGAAGATGTGGAGGGCCATGATCATTTACACCCTTGTGCAAATTAATTGAAACAAAACGAATAACTCCGTTATTATTGTCTTTTTCCTCGGATTTTTCCAATGAAACATGACCCAGTGCACATGTTAATACTTCGTATGTCCATTCAACGAAGTCTTTTCTTGTAGATTGACCACAGATTCACGATTGGATTTAAATCAGGAGAGTTTCAGAACCAATCAATAGTACTTTGATATACTCACTGGTAAGGCTTGCCATTGTTTTCGTGTAGCTTTACAATTTTCGTATACTTCCTTGGTGTAGCGTCCATCGCAGACAATGGCCGTAGGACAACTAATCGACAGTTGAGACAATAGTGTCTGGGCATGATAAAAATCTGATGCAATCACAGATGATGCAATATTTTTCAAGGCCAAACAAATTTCATCGTATACCCCGAAAATAGATTCATATTACTGCACACCACTGCAAATGACCTAATCTGAGGATAAAATAGAAATTGATTAGACCCTGTCAATTCAGTGGGTCTAAAACTAACCGTATGGTGAAAGAAAGGAAACTAAAGTGGTTGCTTCAATTAATTTGCACAAGGGTGAATAATATGATATTTTCAAAAATCGAACGAATATTTTAAATTACAATGCTATAACATGCCGCCTATGAAATAAACAAAAATTAAAACGTTTGAATCTCAGGACATGTTTTTAATGACATTTTCTTTAATACGATTTTACGGCAGGTGCATATCTGTTAAAGAAATGAAAAAGAAAAAAAATTGTTCCGTACAAAGCCAATAATATATATATAATAATATATGACGTGTCAAAATAAAAGCCGAAGTTTTAAAAGCTAAATATTTAGAATCTAAAGAAACTTGCTTATTGCTGTTAATAGAGATCTGATAATAACGATGATCGTACAGAAAATCTCCGTTGATGTTTTGACGCGAGTTGTGCACACACACAAGAGCTGTGCCCAAATGCACATTTGCTCAACTCGGTGAGGAAGAAATAAATATATATATATATATATATATATATATATATATATATATATATATATATATAGGTAACTACACTAGTTTCGGAAAACCTTCGGTTTCTTGATTTGTTAATGGTCAAATCAATTTCGAAGGAAAAAAAGGTCTTAAAACAGAAAGAGCTAGGGACATGAACGTCTGTCGAAAATAATCGTACAGCATACAGGTCCAAAGCCCAAAGAAAAAAACTCCGATACGAGTAATCAATTAACTAAAAAAGTGCTCAATACAAAAGTAGAGCCGACCTAGTCAAACCTAGAGAACCAGACAAACCTACCAAGGTTTCACCCAAGCGGATCGTCAGGGGTAGCTGGCTCCCTGACGATCCCTGACGATCCGCTTAGGTGAAACCTTGGTAGGTTTGTCTGGCTCTATAGGTTTGAATACATATATATATATATATATATATATATATATATATTAAGGAAAAGTCTTAAATATTCATCATATAATCGATTATTCAAATGAGAGAAAGAACGGATGAAATAAAATTCCGCTGTTGGTATCATTTATTTCTAAAAAAACGCTGCACAGTACAAAGTAGTGCAATATATTATTATTATATTTTAGATATTAGAACAAAAACATGTTGAAATCACTACACAATAGTTTTCACGTATCATTACTAAGTTGTACGTCTTCAGGCAAATGGTAAGTAACTGGTGATTAAATAATTTTTTTTTAAATTTCAAAAGCAAAACGTTACTTCTTTCCCGAAATATAAAGGTGGAGCGGGTATAAGAAAAAACATGGTCAGAATTAAAATTAGACGTGTGGGTTTGTCTTGAGCAACCAATTAAATGTCAGATCTACGCTAAATAGAAAATTAAGCTCAGATGGTGAAGGTGGGGGAGTTTTTTTTTTTTTTTTTTTCATGACATGATAAACCGAAACTTAAACAGGTCATCATTGACAATTACGGAAAACATACAAGCAACAAATGTATTTTGACTGTAGACAAATATGACATGTTCACATTTTCAAAGGACGCTGAGGGGAGGAGAAGGAGAATAATCAGACGGAGAGTTAATTTCAACAGAAATTATTTTTAAAGTGACATGTAGATAAAATTAAAAATGTGGAACATCTATATAAGATATAAATAATACTAATTGGGCGGTAATACATAGCAATACTAAATCTGAATAGACAAAATAAGATAATTACTTGTAGAGGGTGGACCATTATTTACTAATAAATTATGGCCATAAGAAATATAATTACCTAATTTAAAATAAAGTAACTATATTGTAAGATAAAAGATAAACTGTATCGAAAATCTACACTTAATTAAATTCTTTGGTTTAGCTGAGATTTATTGTCAGCAAATCGGATAATTTCTAATTTTTTATGCAAGCATAAGAAACACGGTTCATTTAAAAATTTACAGGTTCTAGCCTTTTTAGTATTTTCCATTTTACCGTAGGGGTTTTGTTAACTTCTTTTTAGCCCCAAAATATTGAGGAAGGGACGTCATATTTTTGTAAGCATTATTGGTGAAAAATAATACATGTTGATACCACCTAGTTTTAAAAAGAATTTTTGGTACACCCAATATAATTTTTTTAACTGTTGCATTTTCAGTAGTAGAACAAATGCTTAGGTAAACAGGAGAAGCCGTTAGACATCGGTTTTGAAATGAACATACCTTAGAATTTCTACAATTATATTTGTTGGTACTGTTTGTATTTATTGCTTTGGAATGTCTTATTACTCAGATTTTTGTATTTGTTTTAAGATGTTTTTTAATAATTTTTTTCAAGATTATCTGTACAGCTATAGCTTAGTTTTAGTGTATTTCTGTTAAAAATTTTACTGAGTTGATTATTTCTGGGGAAGTGTTTATCAATTAAATAAAAGAACTTCTGCTCTAAATTAGAACTAACCATTTGGTTAAATGGGGGTGCGCACCAAATGATTTTCCTATTTTCACAAGTTCATTTTTAATTCTGACTATGTGTTTTATTACAACCCCCCTTATCTTTCGGAAAAGAGGTAACATTTTGATTTTGAAATTTAAAAAAATTATTTAATCAGCAGTCATTTACCATTCGCCTGAAGAGATACGACGTAGTGTCGAAACACGAAATCTATTGTCTAGTGATTTCAACATGTTTTTGTTATAATATCTTATAATAAAATAATATGATCGATTATAAATTTATTTCAAGAGGTGTATATATATATATATATATATATATATATATATATATATATATATATATATATATATAGATATAGATATGCCTTCCTGATCAAACGGACTACATTTTATTAAATGATATAAATTTAGCCAAACAATCTGACAATAAACCAGACATTAAAAAAATAAAAAATAAAAATGAAGTAGCGAAATTATCTTGACCATAACATTTTTAGGGGGCTTACACTATTAAAGAGAGAGAAGTGGGCGAAGAAAAAGTTCTTGGATTAATCCCTACAACCTACGGATTTGGTATTGTATATATATATATATATATATATATTAAGACATTTTTATGTTTATACATTCTTTTTATAGATACAAATATTTAAGTAAATGTTATAATAAACAGTATTAAACAATATTTACCGGCCTGAATGTCCGAGAGATTTTCACAGAACATATTCGTCCTCCGACAGGATTCGAACCTCTATTTTATACGGAACGACATTTAGCTTGATGTGCCTTAACCGATTTGGCTACAGAGGAGCGTTCAGTTAGCAAGGTCGAAATTATTGTCTTTAAACTTCAAACTTCCATGAATCTCTCACGTACATTCATATCTGCTCAAAGCGCATCCAAATGTAAACAAAATCTGAGTTCGTGTCGGAATTAGAAATTTAACTGTGAAAGCTACAAAAAAATGATCAAAAAACTAATACAGAATTTATCCATTTCAAAAAGACACGAGACAGCCAGAGGAGGGTGGAAGATATTTGTCTTAAAGGGAAGAGATTTTATAAAATTAAACCCGGATGTTAACCTTATGATATTAAATTGGGGTTATATGAAAAATGAAATGTTAAAGGGGTTTAAAAAAAACTATATATATTTTAAGTTTTTTTTTTTGTGTAATATATATATATATATATATATATATATATATATATATATATATATATATATATATATAATTGTTTATTTGGACAGCAATCCCTCTTTTATACAAGTTTCATTGAAAATGACTTACAACTTACCGCTGTTGGTTATTTAATTTTTTGTGTTGTTATAATTTTCTTCGTTTTTGGACATAAATTATGTAGAATTAATCCAAGTAGTCTGCCCGAGCTCTTTCGGTAATGCTTTTAGCCACTATCAAAGATGATTTTATTTCTTTACTTAATTGAATTGGATTGTTTTATGTATGTATCTAGATTTATAGGAATGACTTATTTCAAAGGCGGTTGGCATATTTTGGACTTGTGCATAGTTGATATTATTTAATGTCGGCTTTTTTCTCTTTTTTTATATTAATAATGCTTCCATTATTTTAAAACTTTTTTTTTACAAGTGGTTTAGTTTTAACCGCAGTACTTTGTCATTCGTTTTTAATGAAACTTCTTCTCACATTCATTATATATATATATATATATATATATATATATATATATATATATATATATATAAACATGAATTGCAGGACGAGAAAACTCTACACTAGTAGATGGAATACTAGGGTTAATCTTGAAATTCCTTGAAAGTTACTTACATCGATATGCACCTGATGAAGGCCGGAG